CTGCATGTGAAGTGTTAGCTATCTTTGGAATCTCCCACATCCAGATCTCTGCTTTTGAGGCGCATATGAACGCACCCACACAAACTCAAACACATAGCAGTGACAGCTAGCCTACCGGAACAGATGGTCAGTCTCCCTAGCAACAGTAGAGTCTCTTAAGAGCCCAGCCTGTTAGGTATTTCATGAGGGGCCAAGAATACTTGGCAGAATACGGTGAAAGTCTCTGAGGAGAACCGAGCACCGGCCCTCTGTCCACAGTTAATTCCTTGAGCACAAATATAGAAATCAAATTAAGAAAAATAGGAACTGTTCAAACTATACAGTCCTGCTCTCACTATAGCAAGTATGCATACTGCTGTGATTTGGTGCTATTGTTGCAATATTATCAAAGGAAATGTCAAATCACCATAAATCCTCAATCCCACATTGCCCCAATGCAATGCAACACCCAAAAAAAATGAAACCCTCCATGCCTGCTTCTTTCACACACTCCACCGCCAGTTTATAATGGGAGATTACCCCAACGGTAACAAAGCAAGTCAAGTAAGCGTGTAAAATTGTTGGTGTGTGCCTTGATCAAGACATAACACAAAGTTGAAAGAAATGTGAAAGTTTAAATAACAAGATGTGACAAGACATGCAAAGTCGTGATTTTCAAGTTGGTCACGGCAGGAAATGTGTTTTAGTTTGGGAGATAATTACTGTGCAGCTAACACTGGTTACTCACAGCTGCTAATTGCTCTATCAGTATCATGACTGAGACTTGATGCTACATGCTCTGTGAGTGCGGCTTTGAACTAAACACTAATCCTACAATAACACCATGGTCACAATGGTAATATGCTTATCATTTATTACATTTAACTAAAAAACATGAGGAGGTATTAGCGCATATATTTCATGAGATTATGGGAGTGTAGATGACTTTGAGTGCATCCATCCATCTCATTTTTTCCTGCTTATCCAATTCATGGTCATGGGGGTTGATGGGGGGCTGGAGCCTATCCCAGCTGCCATAGGGTGAGAAGCAGGGTACACCCTGTGTGGGCTAACACAGAGAGACAGGCAAGCATTCACACTCACATTCACACCTATGGCCAATTTAGAATCACCAATTAACCTAAACTCCATTAACTTCATGTCTGTGGACTGTGGGAGGAAGTCGGAGAACCCAC